GGGGATCACCCAAGCCCGGGAAGGTGAGGCTACAGTGAGCCAAGCTGTGATTGTGCCAGTGCATTCCAGCCTGGGTGACCCTGTATCCAAAAACACAAAAAAAGAGCCTGCTGTGAGCCAGGCAGTGGGAATGCCGTGATTTACATGGCCTAGAATTTACATTTCTAACGAGGACAATTTACACATTAAGTCACCTATGCCTAGAAAGTTCATTCAAGTCTTGTATTTTCATGGCATCTGTTAGTAGAAGTGAACTCATCACAGCTAGTTCTTGATCGTTGTTTTGCTGTTACAGGTACTCTGATGTGCATACTCTTAGACCTTATCCAAGAGAGGTGTTGGGGAAGGGGGAGGAAAAAGGAAGAATAAGGTAACAGAAGAGATGGAGGGGTGCCCAGAACGTTGATAGATAAGCAGATGAGGCAACAGCCTGAAGATAGAATTCCAAAAAGATGCCATTCCTTCCTGATCTATATGGGAGGAATGAAACTTACAACAATACTATATGTGCGTAAGGCCCATCCTCAGAGGCCTGAGGGTCCGGGTCCATCACTAAGGGGTGCAGAAAAGAGCAAATTATCTTGTGTCCTAGTCTTTCCCGAAATACAAAGGGGAATTCTTAAAAGGAGGCACCTAGAGGGAGGATGTGTGAAAAGAATACAGTAGTAGTCATTTGCTTTATTGATACTGAAAATTTATGGACTAAATATATAATATAAATATTTTCGGTGCGCCACATTTTTCTTTCACATTCGAAACTTCCACGAGTCTTTGCCTACCTATAGCAGCAAGCAGACCGAGGACCCGCGGGTCATAGGCTTGAAACCTGAATGGTTGCTTCATTTGTTATGTTCCAGGGATGGCTGTGTATCCGAATGCGTTTTGAAAGACAGTTAAGGCCAAGAATTAGCCTTGGCATTTAAAGTCATCTATAGATCTACCTTGTGCTTTCCTACAGAATCCATGTAGAAGACATGTAAAAGAAGGTGGAACTGCCTTGTGGCTTTGGAGAACGAAGTGTCTGGTTCTGAGCTCCTTTCATCAATTTTTTCTACGGGGGGGAAAAAAAACCAAAAACAAAACCTTTCTTTTTTTCTAAATCTCCAAGAGACGGCATGGTGGCAGAGTGGTTTAGAGCGAGCTCTGGAACCAGTCAGCCTAGGTTACCAAGGCGTTACCTTGCCCAAGATAATCATTCCTCTCCTCTGTTTCCTCATCTATATTCACTGTCTCAACTGTTACTACATCACAGGGTTGTGGTGAAGATGAAATGAAAGAATAACATAAGCACTTAGAACAGTATTTGGCACAAAGGAAGCCTTTATTATTACCTCCTTTGCCTACAGTGTAATTACCTGTTACCTACAGTGAGCAAGGCTAGCGGCAAAGTGCTTCATGTGTGTCACCCTGAATCATTCTGAACCTGGTCAGAGCTAGGAGAGAGAGAGCTGGGCCAGAGCTAGAAATTTAGGAATCATTAATACATCAGCCAGGTGTTCATAATCTGTACATTACAGAGCCAGGGCTCATGGAAGAGCTGAAATCAAGGGCGGCATTTTGTGTTTGTGAGCATATGTGAATTTTTCTGGGAAGAGAACCCAAAACTTTCACCAGTGTACTCAAAGATCTGAGACCCAAAAAAGATTAAGACTTGCCATCTCACAGGAAATACGGTACTACTCATGCCGTGTGTCCCACGTGGGTCTTCTTCCAAGATAAATAATCGAAACTCCAGGGAAGGTATTTTATGACTGCAGCCTTTTACTAGAAAGAAGTGGAGGTTTTTGTGGTTTTCTTTTATTTTGGGACAGAGTCTCACTTTGTCACCCAGGCTGGAGTGCAGTGGTACAATCTCACCTCACTGCAACCTCTGCCTAACGAGTTCAAGCAATTCTCCTGCCTCAGCCTCCCAAGTAGCTGGAACCACAGGCATGCACCACCACACCCTGCTAATTTTTGTGTTTTTAGTAGAGTTGGGGTTTCACCATGTTGACCAGACTGCTCTCGAACTCCTAACCTCAAGTGATCTTCCTGCCTCAGCCTCCCAAAGTGCAGAGGTTAGAAGCATGACCCACCTTATCCAGCTCCAGAAAATAGTTTTTTAATGGACCCCCTTTATACGTCTAGCACCCATTTTTATAAGAATTTTATTCTATAAATCAAGTTTCAACTTCTTAGTAGATCGAAGAATGACTTTTCTCTAGTGTCAGAACATA